GTCTGGACTTGTGGGGGTCGCGTCATGAAAAAATCATGACGTCGGGGGTCCGGGGATCTGGCAGAGTGCTGCAGGGCCAGGGCTGCATGGACCCGGGCTTTGCAGGACCCTGCGGGACGCCGCAGGATCTTGCAGCATCCTGCAGGGCCTACCTGACCGGGGCCTGGATGGGCCCGGGTCAGAAGATCCCCGAAAGTTGAGCGGGTGGAGGCCGGCCGGGAGAGCCGCCGCTGTCTCCGCTGGCCTTTCTCCGAGATGGACTGGGCCGGCAGTTGTTGGCCCTTGGTGCTCCGCATGCGGGAGCAGCGAAGCAGAAGGGGCGTCGGGTGCTCTTGGGGTCCCGAGCGCTTGGTACCACCATGGAGCACCGCAGGTGCAACAGCGTGGATGTGTATGTGTGTGTGTGTGTGTGTACACGCGTGTGTTGCCGCCCGCACTCCCCTTGTGCTTCCCTCTTGCATTGTGGCACAGTTCGCTACAAGGGTACCCCCGTTTGATTAGCTCTTCTGCCAGCACGGTTACTCTGCCTAGCCGCCGACGCAACAAGTGTACGCGCGTGTGTAGGAGGTGTACCAGGGCGGGGGTGAGGCAGGAGGAGCTATTGGCGCTGCGTGCCTGGCGACATGACAGTCTCTCCCGCCCTATGCCGCAATTCTCTTGGACCTCATCGCTGCGAGAGGAGGAGGAGGTGAGGAGGAGGAGGAGGATGATGAGGAGGAGGAGGATAGGATAGGATAGGACCGATCGCGAAGCGAGGTTACGACACCTAGACCTAACGACACGAGCCGTGTGGGGGCGGCGGGGGCGGGGGCGGCGGTCCTGGAAGTCGCGGAACGGCTGCGCGCGGCGCGGGCCCCTCCCTTCCTCCCCACCGACCCCCACACTGTCCCCCCCGACGACACCCTCGGGCTCGGTCATTGACTAGGCTGCTTATATTTTGGCCACCTGTCCTCTTCTAAACGATTGAGATAGGAGGTGCGGGTGGGGGTCAGCTTCGAGGGGTCACACTCCAAGGACAAAGCCCGAATCTGTTGGCTCCCAAAACACCCGCACCCCTTACAGAACCAAATCTTCAAATCACGATGAAAATGGCTCGGGCCAGCGTTGCTTCAGAGAGGAGGAGGAGGAGGAGGAGGAGGAGGAGGAGGAGGAGGAGGAGGAGGAGGAGGAGGAGGAGGAGGAGGAGGAGGAGGAGGAGGAGGAGGAGGAGGAGGAGGAGGAAGGGGAGAAGGAGGAGAGAGGAGGAGGAGGACCAGTGCAAACCCAACACGCACCACCGATGTTGCAAGAAACACTCCCTCTAAGTTGCAAGAAACACGCCCTGTTGGAAGGCAGCCATTCGAGAATCCTCAACCGTTCCAAAACACACTTCGTGGCACTTCAGCGCCGCAGGTCAGCCCGTCGGTTGCGTCCTGTGCCAGAACTTCACTCCTGGGACTTGAACACCGCGAATCAATCTGAATGTTGCGTCCTGACAATCTCATATTGTGACTCAACAACATGTCGGGGACATCACCCCACGAATCCTTGACGCCGTTCCAAGCTTTCAAGACGAGTGTTCGCGGCGCTGAGGCGAGAAACGACATTCAAGTATAATGCGCCCTCCGTCCTTCAAGTTGCTGCAAACCTATAGGGCGAGTGTGCGCGGCGCCAAGGCGGGAGCCACATTTTGAACAGGAGTCGCCCTCCGTCCGCGAAAGTGCCGTCAGTCCACACAGCGTCAGTTCGCGGCGCTAAAGGTGAATTCGCAGTTTGAGATTCCCCTGTCCTCGATCCGCGAAGCTATTGCATTGAACACGAGCGTGCGCGGCGCTAGGGCGATGTACAGTCGGGGCCCTGAAGAAGGAACCCTTTTGGTTGGCGAGGGGCGCCGCGTTCCTTAAGTGTTTCACAGCTTGCCTCAGGTTTTCCTTATGTTTTCGATAGGAAAGCGAAGTCTAACATATGGAACAAAGGGGCCTCGTTCCTTATTTAGGGTTCCTTAGGTCAACGCCCCGACTGTACAAGTACATGCTGAAAGCCTCTCGCCGTCCATCCGCGAAGCGGTTGCAGACGCCGAGAGCTTCGGGGTCCCAGGCGGCGAGAAGGAAGTCTCCAGTCGGGACGCCCGGCCCGCCCTATCGACACCTTTGGGGGTGCGACAGGGATGAGGGGGAGGCTGAGGAGGAGGAGGAGGAGGAGGAGGAGGAGGAGGAGGAGGAGGCTGAGTAGGATGAGGAAGAAAAGGAGGAGGAGGACGAGGAGGAGGAGGAGGAGGAGGACGACGAATAATCGACCACAGGCCGTGGGGTGAACCCCCTCTTGTCATTCGGCGGCACGCCCAGGGGGGAAGTGAGAGGGGGCAGGCTTTCTCAAAAGGCGACGGGGCTTCTCAGAAGCCGACGCGCCTTCGGAGAAGCCGTGTAAGCCTTCTCCGAATCTACTGCTTCCGAGTCATGGATCGACACGATGGCGAGATTGATGGACAACTGCCTTGTCAACGGAGCGTCGCAAAAACAACGGGGTCTTCTTCACCGACATTGGCGCGTAAGCTGCCCGCGTGAGGTCGCGCGCAAGCGCCTTCGCTTCCAGCGTAGCGTGCCGCGCTGGTGGCCCTCGCACGCCACCGCGTGAGGTCGCTATGTCATCTCGCGTAAGGCCCGTTCTTGATCGTCGCTCAACTGCCCTGTCGCCAGCCGCCACCGCAGGGAGGGAGGAGGATGAGCAGAGCCCCTCCCCCTGCTGGAGGCGGACCCGCGGCTGCCTGGGCGGGGGGGGCCAGGGCGCTGGCGTGCGGCAGCGGCTCCGAGGATGCGGAGGTGCCGCCCTGCCTCTGGTGGTCGCCGTCGGGGGAGGAGGGGGGGGAGGAGGAGGCGAGCGAGCGAGCGGAAGCGGTGAGGCGGCAGGATCAAGAGAAGCGGGCGGGAAGCGCACAGGCACCTCAGGCCCTCCACCCGGCACCGGTTCGACGGGGCCCGAAGGCAAGGACCGCCCGTCGGCACCGAGGGGAAGGTCGAGGCACCCGTGTACCTCGAAAGGGCGGCCCGCGGCGGGGCCAGGGAGCACGGGGCCTGCGGTAGGCCCGTGCTCACCAGTACGGGGCCCGCCGACCTGTGGAAGAGCAGCTCCAGGGCTCCCAGCGCCTCCAGTTGTGGGAGGGGGAGGAGGAGGGGGAGGGGGAGGAGGAGGAAGAGGACGAGGAGGAGGAGGCGGTGACCACAGCTCAGCACCGCCGCAGCTTAGGCCAGCCATTACGCATGCGCCAACCTCTCTACACAGACGATCTGGCAGTGGGGAAGGCTTTTGTGGTGGGTGCGTGGGTGGACGCTGCCGACGCTGCCCCCCCCCCGCCAGACTGCAGCGCTACCCATCCTGGATGCCTCTTGGGCGCTCTGGGCGATCTTTGGGGCCTCTGGGCCGTCTTGGGCCGTCGGAAGGCCGAAGCGACAACATTCGAAAATCCTTCAACATCCGAGGGACAATCAATGATTTCTGCCTCTTCAGGCCTGGAGGCCTCTTGGGCCGTCTTGGGCCATCTTAGAGCCATCTTCAGCCGTCTTGGTGGGCTCCTGGCCTGTCTGACGCCGTCGGAAGCCGTCTTGGCGGCCTCTCTGGGCCGACTTGGGGCTCTCTTGGGGTGCTCCAGGGCCGTCTTGGAGGCCATCTTGGGCGTCTCGGAGGCTTCTCAAGCAGTCTTGGGGCCCTCTTTCGGCCGTCTTGGGGTCCTCTTGAGCCGTTCTGGAGCCATCTTGGAGGCCTCCTGGGTGCTCAGGGGGCGATCTTTGGGGCCTCTTGGGCCGTCTTGGGCCGTCGGAAGACCGAAAAGAAGAACATCCGAAAGGAAAGTCAATGGTTTTAGCTTATCCGGGCCCTCCTGGACGACCTCTTGGAGGCCTCTTGGGCCTCTTGGAGGGCTGTTGGGTACCTCTTGGGCCGTCTTTGGTTGTCTTAGAGGCTTCTTGGGCCGACTTGGAAGGATCTTGGGCCCTCTTGCTCCGTCTTGGAGGCCATCTTGGGCATCTTGGACGCATCCTGGAGACCATCTTGGGCCATCTTGCCAGTCTTGAAAGACATCTTGGCCCGTTGTTGGACGTTTTTGTATGGGAATTGGGCGCCTTCCGGGTGGCCGGCGGGACGGGCCAGAGCCCCAGGGGAACGTTCTTTTGGACAAAAAGAACGAACCCAAACCAAGAGCGATAGGGTTTAGCACGCCAGGCACCCTTGTGATGAATCAACAGGGGGCGGCGAATCTAGTGGCCTTCGGCCAATCCGGCCACCGTGCCTGGGCTGTGGGTCAGAGGCCTCCCGGATGACGGTGGGGATCTCTTGGGTGGCCTCTTGGCAGGACGCCTCTCGGATTCGGCTTGGGACATGCGGCGTGCCTCTTGTGGCCCGACTTGGGCCTCTTGGGGTCTTCCTGGGGCTTCTGGGAGGCCTCTTTGAGGACTGCTTGCGGTCTTTGGCATTGTCTTCGGGCAGAGGGCTCGACATGTCAGTTCGTGTTCCCCCTCAGGGGCTTCTCTCGGGCCTTCTGAAGGCTTTCGTGGGCCGTCTTGGGGGCCTCTGGGGCCGTCTTGAGGCCCTCTTGAGCTGTCTGCGGCCGCTCTTGGGGGCCTCCTGGACTGCCTCGGGATGATCTTTGGGGCGTCCTCGGTAGTCCTGGGGTGATCTTGAGAACAGGCGAGAACGCTAACATCATTTTCAAACATACAGGGGGTCAATGATGTTGGCCCCCCCGGGCCCGCTTGGGGGCCACTTGTGCCGTCTTGAGAGCCTGGTGGGCAGTCTGGGGGCCCTCGAGGGCTGTCTCGGGGCGCTTCCCCGGAAAACCTGCGAGATTCTTCGTGTCGTTTTGGGCCAGGGTCGTTGTCCCGGGGGCGCACGTGAGAAACCAGGGGAGCGCCCAGCAATTCCAGGAATTTCGCGGTCGAGGCCCCATTCAGAATTTTCATGAGCCCCCATGCTCTGTTTCAGGTTGCATGAGCCTTGGGTCACCCCGCTACACGCTGAAAGCACGGCAAGAGAGAGAGAGAGAAACAACGCAGAGAACGAGAGAGAGGCAAGAACATCCGTAGCCACGTAGCCAACTAGGCCGAAGACCTTCTCTGTCGCTTTCAAAATCCCGGCGCTGCACATCTCCGCCTTTTGTCTTGCACCAGCCATGCTCCGCATCCTGGTCACCTGCACGGCCCTCGTCGGCGCTCTGGCGTCCCGCGTCAAGGACGATATCTCGCTGCGCACCGACGCCATGACCAACGCCAGCTCAGGCAAGAACCTCTGCAGCCGCTGGCTCATCGTTGAGTACGATGACGGCTCGCAGGAAGACGGGGCCACATTCGGATCTTTCAGGTACCTCAGCGATGCATGGACCTCCGTCGTGCTGTTCACCAAGACCGAGAGTGACGGATGCACCAAGACCTACACCGCCATGTGTGAGGGCGGTGAATTGCAGGTAAAAAAGGTGTGCGGAGAGAAGGAGAGCATCGAAACGCGGTGCCTCGGTGGCATGAGCTGTTTCGTCTCCAGTCGCAAAAGCACGTTCGGCACTGGCGACTCTGGTGTGGTGTTTCATCCGGACGAGGATGACGTGAGTCTCAGCAGTGGGAAGGTTGTGGTCTACACAGTTGACCCATCCAAGGGCATCAACTTGGAGGATGCGCCAGGCAATTACAAGTGGAAGGCAGAATGGGGCTGCTACTGTTGCAAGCACAGCTATGGCCTCGAGAATCCCTTCTCTTTTTCTTCAAGACGGCTGGCCTGGAAGAGGGGCAGCGACGGCAACATGGAGTGCATGCTTGCATGGCGGATGATTGGCAATGGCATGGACCACGAAAACCCAGCAGATTCCAGCGTCCTGGGCGTTTTCGCGCTGATCCCCGAGTTTGTGATGACCTTCGCGGACATGATGACCCTGACCATCGGTCGACACCTCGCGTGCGCTGCCACCTGCCCCTTGCGCAATCCCAAGTACGAGGCGAACAAGCATGCCTTCACCAAGATCCAGACCGACATGGACAAGTACTGAGGCTGCTCCAGGCTTGGTGTAGGTCCGCACTCGCTGACAGAGTGGCACGTGTAACAATAGACAACGTCCGTGTGGGGAGGAGGGCGACGACAACGAGGCGAGGAGGAGGAGGAGGAGGAGGAGGAGGAGGAGGAGGAGGAGGAGGGAGGAGGGAGGAGGAGAAGGAGGAAGAAGAAGACCCGGCCAATGACAAGGTGAGGAGGAAGTGGAGCGTTCACCTCCTCGGCCCCCCCCTTCGTCCTCCTCCTCCTCCTAGTCACGCCGGCGTGCGTCTCCTGAGACGGTGAGGCGAAGAGTAGGATGAAGATCTGACGAGGAGGATGATGATGATGATGCTCAGGACGAGGAGGAGGGGTATGTGGAGGACAGGAGCTGGCGATGTTGATCATGAGGAGGGAGAGGACGACAGGATCAGGCGAGAAGGAGGACAATGGGACAAAGAAGATGAGGGGGAGGATATCGACGATGAGCTTGATGACGACGGCATCGAGGAGAGGA